GATTTATCTTATCTGGTGACTTCTAAATAGCATTAATGTCGTTAGTGTTGAAATTCAGTAAAGAGGTTCTGACAGTGCCGCTGCAGAAATACTCTGTTTTCCAGAGCCGGCATATCTGCTACAGTACGTTTTCAAAAACTTGCCTCATTCTGCATCGTCAACCGTTCAATCGGCAAAAGCAGGATTCACATCAGTCTTTTCATGCAAATGTAACAAAATCGTAAATATATATCATACGTACATTTATGCAGTTACCGAAATAAAGAATATGCTCGTTTAAAAGAACGGCGCCGCTGAATATGTCACGAAAAGAGACCATAGTGAAGGCAGACACTTCGACCTTCTGCTCAACGAGAGTGACAGCATGAACAGTGATTAGTAAATGTATCTCATCACTGGTTCAGACAATAAGACCAACGAGCAGATGTAATATATTCACAGCCCTTAATAAAGCTGATTTGAATACTGTGAGAAAGTTAGTGATCAAACTGAACATACGGTAGATCTTCAAATCGAATGTCGTCTACAAGTTTTTGGTTCTAAATGTTCCACAGCGATGAACGTCGCACTCGATCCATAGATCAAGTGTAGCAAAGTTATGCAGTTCTTTCTTACAGCAGTTGCGGAATAACCCAACTTCATTTCCTTGTAAATTTTGAATTGTACACATTTTGTGATGCTTTCGGGTTGCACAAGCACAAACGTGGTGTTAAGAACGTGTATCCGTCGACAGTCACAAAATTCAGCGTTGCCAGAATGCGCCATTTCTCGGTCCAACTCAGTGATGCGGTACTACACCCATGTAATATAGGTACTCAAAGTCCAGGGAGTCGTGGTTAACATAAATGGCCACCCTATTGCATCTTAGAACAAAGTGAGAAGTGCGACTTTGCCATAAGACCCTGTGTAATGATGCATTGCATTATCTGCCGGGTTGTGTATAGTAAGCAACTTATAGTTAATTATGATTTAATAATTTATTAAAATCTCTGCGTTAACCGTTTCGCAGTGATAAAAATTCCACTCTATCAGTCTATCTATTTATCAAATCTGGTCGAGAATGCCATCATACAAAAATCCAACTTTCGTATAAAAGAATTTGAGCGGAAATTCTAAACCATGATCTGAGCGTAAATGACTAATCTTCGTCTGCTGAATCTGCACATCTTCATCTTCATCTTCCATCGCCGCTTCTCCTTTCGGGTCGCGGAGGCAGACGCGTCAGACAGTGCGTCCAACGTTCCCGATCCTGTGCCAGAGTCTAAGCTTCGGCAAAAAACAAATGCAGTCTGGAACAGATTCCTTCCATATCTTTGCACCACGTTAATCTTAGCCGTCCCCTGCGCTTTTTGCCGGTCGGATTTGGAAGGAACAGCTGCTTAGTCTTCCTTTCTGGAGGCATTCGCAACACATGCTCAAGCCATCGCAGCTGTGACTTCTCAATCTGGAGAAGC